TAATATCACTAAAATTAATTTCTAATTACTATTCCTGAGGTTTTCTTTTAGGTACAAATGGAATGATTTTGTTACAAAGGAAAGGAAATATATAACTTCTCCAAAGGACTAAAACTAAGCGATGTTAGGGCCAGCCAGTGGTATGGTGGTTAAGGCAGCTGGATCCCACACAGCCAACTGTGTGGTTAAAGTCCCTGACCTGGTGCCTTGAAAAACACACCAGGCATATATGTACACATGCACAGAATCTCAAAAGAAGAAATAGAGAAGGGATTGCAGTGTGGTCATCTCACTTAATCTCTCCCTCAGTCTGTCTCCTCTTTCTGGTGAGCACATATAGCCTCTAGCAAGTTACCAAAAAGAGAGAGAGCAAGAGAGAGAGAGAAAATAAAAGACTATGACTTTTTATTTTTGGAGGTTTTTGCTATAGGGCGCGTGTGCTCACCAGAAAGACAGAGAAAGACAGAGAGACAGAAAGCGAGAAATCACCCCCCAGGGGGGATGGCCATGCCGCAATCCCTTCTCCTCCCATTCTCCTCTCAGGATCTTGGGCACGCACGCACACACACCCAGCGTGAGTCTAAGCCACCAGGTCTGGGACTCAAACGGCGATCAGTCAACTACATGGAAGTCCAGTGACATAGCCATTACGCTAACTGCTGGTCCCAGACTATGACATTTTAATACAGTGACAGACCATATAAGTTTAAAAAACATTAATTTAAGTATATGCTAATTTTTTGGGGGTGGGGGAGAGGTTTTTGCTATAGGGTGCATGCCCCCACCATACTGACAAGAGAGAGACAGAGAGACAGAAAGGAAGAAATTCCCCTCAGGGGTGATGGCCACGCCACAACCCCTTTTCCTCCATTCTCCTCTCAGAATCTTGGGCACACACACACACACACTCACACACGTGCATGCCTGGTATGAGTTAAACCACCAGGTCCGGGACTCGAACCACAGTCGACTACATGGGAGTCCAGCAACATAGCCATTACACCAACTGCTGGTCCCAGTATATGTTAATGTTAACATCCAGTAGATAGATAGTAAATGAAAGTACAGTACTAGTTCAGACTCATAGTATAACTGACCTTACTGTTTTTAAAAAATTATTTTATTTAACTTCCTTTCTTTCTTTCTTTAAATTTGACCAGAGAGGAACTGAATGTGCAAGAGAGACAAGGAAAGAAAGTGAGAAAGCAAGTCACCCAGTCTGGGACTCAAACTACGGTCAGTCATGTGGGTGTCCAGCGCCCTTAACCAACATGCAACCTGCTAGTCCCCTCATTTTTTATTTTAACTTAGTCTTATTTTTAACTTATTTTTTTAGAGCTAGCATTCAAATATTACATACTTTGTGCTCATTGCCCTTTCAAAAATTCCAGCCTGGTAGCACAGCAGTGAACTGCAGCACAGAGGGAGCCAGATTCCACATGGCCAGCTGGGGTCTGGTCTGAACAGTTTAAAACCAATCCAAGCAACACATGTGCACAAATCTAGGATCCTGACAAGATGGAGAATTAAAAGCAAAAAGAGGGACTACTAGATGACATAATGGGTACACAACTGGACTCCCATGTATTTAGACCACAGTTCAAGTCCCAGACCTAGTAGCTTGAAACTCACTCCAGGTATGTGTGCGTGCATGCCCAAAATCCTGAGAGGAGAACGGAGGAGAAGAGACTGTGGTGTGGCCATTCCCCTTGGCGGGGATGATTTCTCACCTTCTGTCTCTCTGTCTCTCTAGCAAGCATAAGTGCCCTATAACAAAAATCTCTCTTAAAAGGAAAAAAAAAAAAAAAAGGCAAAAAGGATTGCAGTGTGACTAGGCTTTGTTGGTAGGGCCTTCCCCCCAGCTGCACCCCATCCTTCTCATGAGTGCACGTGTACTCTCTAGCAAAAAACAAACAAACAAACAAAAAAATACTATTGGGCCAGTAGGTGGCATGGTGGTTAAGGATGCTGGACTCCCACATGGTGGACCATGGTTCGAGTTCCAGATCTGGCAGCTTGCTTTCTCACTTTCTTTCTCTCTCTCTTGCTCTCACTCTGTCCCTCTCTGGTCAACTTAAAATCAATAAATAAATAAAGTTAAATAAAGTAATTCTTAAAAAAAAAAAAAAAAAACTATCAAGTTCAATTAACAGAGCTAGACTCATAGCCTAATGGTTAAGATAACCAGATCCCAAATTGCCAGCTGTGGACTAAGTCCTAGCCCCAGAGGCATGACAAACACACAAGGCATATGTGTATGCATTTATATCCCAAATCCCTTCAAGACAGAGAAATGGTGGAGAAGCAATTGCGGAGTACCATACCCGGTTATAGGTTGCTTTCTCTCTCCCTCCCTCTCTCTCTGTCTTTCTCTAGCAAGCATATGTGCCCTCAGTCAATTAAAAATAAGCACATACATTTTATAAGTTAAAAAAAAAAAAAAAAAAAAAACAAGGGCTGGCAGGAGGTGTGGGGGTTAAACGCACTAGACTCTCACATGGCTAACCATAGTTCAAGTCCCAAAACTGGTAGTTTACTCTCTGTCATTCTCTGGTCAAAACCGAAAAATAATGGTAATAAATAATTCTTTAAAAAAAAAAAAAAACACACACACATAATAAATAACCAAAACTAAACTTTTGGTAGGGCATTGTTGCTTAAAAGAAACTAAGAATTCATTTCACAATTCTGTCCACTGGAATCAACAGTAACAATACAAATTCCCTTTGAATTTATATATACAAATTTTTCTAGCTCTATTGAATTATGACTGAAATAGCTTTATAATTCTTCTCAACACATTACCAAAGGAATTCCAGAAATGTGAAAGCCATCACACAAATGACTGGTCTTTCCCCATCACTTCTTCCTTAATACATCTCAAAAACTAATTTTTTAAAATAATTATTTATTCAATTTTATTTATTATTATTTTCTCAAATTTGCTATAAGGCACATGCATTGACCAGAGATAGAAAGCGAGAGAGAGAGAAAAAGTGAGAAACCAAGCCACCAGGTCCAGGACTTGAACCACACATGGCCATGTGAGAGTCCAGCACCCTAACCACCATACTACCTGCTGGCCCCAGGAAACTAATTTTTAAAATACTATTTACTTTAAAATAGTATTAGGGACAGAAAGTGGTAAGGAGGTTAAAGTGATTGGATTCCACATGGATAACTCCATGGCTCCAGTCTCGCTGGGTGCTTGTGGATACATGCCCCAAATCCCAAGAGCAGAATGGAGGTAAAGGAATTGTAATGTGGCCATCTTCCCTGGGGGTAATTTCTGACTTTCCCCCCATCCTCTCTGTATCTCTCCAGCAAGCACACATATCCTATGGCAAAAACAAACAAACAAAAACTAATTTATATTCACATAGACATAAAATTATTCACCTTTTTAAATAAATCACACTTAGATGTAAATTATTACTTAAATATGAAGTTACTTTCAATGAATCAATGGTATAGGGTGGTGGATGACTAGACCTTATTTGGATCCTGACTCAAACTACTTATAAAAGGCAAGACCAGCTATGGGACCAGTGGGTGGCATAGTGGTTAAGGCACTGGACTTCTACATGGCTGACTGCAGTTCAAGTCCTGGACCCAGCAGTTTGAAACTCACACCGGGCGCACGTGTGCATGCCCAAATCACGAGAGGAGAATAGAGATGGAAATGTGGCATGGCCATCCCCCTAGGGTGTGATTTCTCACTTTCTATCTTTCTGTCTTTCTCTGTCTCTCCAGAGCGCACGTGCCCTACTGCAAAAAATCTCAAAACAAAACAAAAAGGCAATTGTGCAGGGTTAGCAGGTGGCTGATGGTTAAGATGCTGGCTCCCACGTGGCCAACCATGGTTTGAGTCCTGGACCTGGTGACTTGCTTTGTCACATTCTCTCTCTCTCTCTCTCTCTTTCTCTTTCTCTGGTGGGCACATGTGCCTATAGCAAATTTTAAAATAATCGTAATAATAAATAAAGTTAAATAAATAATTCTCTTTTTTTAAAGGCAGTTGTGAGACTGGGGAAATGTGAATATGCACTGAATAGCTAGATAGAAACTTTTATTATTTTGGAGGTAAGACAATGGCACTATATGATTGCATTAGGTACTTATTTTATTAAAGGATACATATAAGGGATCTTCAAAAAGCTCACAGAAAATATGTATCATAAAAAATTATGCAGGGAACCAGCCGTTAGCGTAATGGCTATGTCGCTGGACTCTCACGTAGTCGACCGCGGTTCACGTTCCGGATCCGGTGGCTTAAAACTCATGCCGGGCGCGTGTGCGTGCGTGCCCAAGATCCCGAGAGGAGAATGGAGGAGAAGAGATTGCGGTGTGACCATCCCCTCTAGGGGGTGATTTCTCGCTTTCTGTCTCCATGTCTCTCTCTGTCTGTCTGGCGAGCGCACGCGCCCTATAGTGAAAACCTCTCAAAAAAAAAAAAATTATGCATAGATTTCAAAAATGTTTTGCACCCAAATAAACTCATACTTTAATATGATTTTCCATAAACTCCTTGGATTCTTTAATATATAAATATTTTTCTTTTTTTTTTTTTTTTTTTTGGGGATTTTTCTTTGCGGGGCCGG